TATATATATATATATAAATAAAACCATTGTATGATTTCTTAAAACTATTTTAAAATGTTATCTCAGTATCTCAGTTTAAACTTTAAATTTCTAAAATAAGCTTCCAATTTTCTCACCAGAGTATTTTCTTCCTCCATAAGACCCTAGATTGATGTCTTTCCCATCTTCTCTCCTCCATGTAATAATAGGTTCTGGGTAACCCGAAGCCTCGCACCGTAAACTTACTTTTGACCTCTCCTCTGTAACTGTATCCGAGCTAGTGCCGGTCTCGATTATGGTTGGAGGCACTGCAAACATGTTATAAATGTTATTTTCTCAAAAAAATATTACAGAATTATTGAACGTTATACTTCATTGAAAAATACATTAAGCAGAAATTCAAAAATAAAACATGATAAGAAATAAGAAAATTGCTTTTATTTTCTTGTTAAAAAAAGGAAATGGAAATGTTCAGGAAAATGTTTCATTACAACGCATACGTATACGTGATATTAAGTATTTATATCATAATAATTTATTACATATTCAACTTAGTCAACAAAAAAAACCTCTGCTAAGTTTAACACAGTAAATCGTATGTTAAATAACGTCATTGCATTTTTCGTATTGAATGTGATTCGTAAAACCAACCGAAGCTGAAATTATTCTGAGAAGAATCTTAGGTTTGTCTGAATTCTCGTAATCTTTAACACTTTTCGCTAAGAATTTAAGTATGTTCTTCAAAATTTAAAAAAACTTTGACCAATAATTATATGGTGGGATATATGTAACACGTAAAAACTGTTTAGGGATTTAGGGAGAAAAGAATATTTAATTTATACATTTAAATGTCTTGCTACTTGGTTATATACTTCTGGGGTACTAGATAACACTATCACTTGAATTGCAGAAGGATGATTAATGTTTAAAAAGGAAAAATAATCCAATCGAAGGAGTCCTATCGATGATGAAATGACCACAGATTGTGTTAAGACTTATCAAAAAGTTCAACTTTGTTCTCGAAAGGTTGAACGAGAGTTTGAATTCAATGAGGCATTGCTTATATGTCTGATTAAGAATCGAGTAAATGTTTAATGTTTCGTTATTAGCATATAAACTTATAACAACATAAAATAAATTATTCATAACAAGCAGTTTCCTTTCCAAGTAAGCCCTATGCAAATTATGTATAATTATTTAAAAAAAAATTTTTTTTGGGGGGGGCAACTGTTGTTGATAGCAAATTTTTTAATCTTGAAGTACAATATTTTTGTAAAGTGACAGTATTTAGGTAGGGTCTAAACTATCACTGGTTCTGAACTATTATGACGTAGCAAGAGATTAGCCTTCATTCAAGTTTATTCTTAATACAAGAGAGCATACAAAAGAACGGACTCAATGATTTATAATAGTTTTTAATTCTGATATTTCCAAAAACCTACGGGATATTTTGAAAATAATGGAAATTTTTCTTCGAGTATATTCCAAATACTACTTTTTTTCAAGTTATAAGACTGCTCCTGATTACGAATTTCACTCCTATTTAAATTATCTTTCATGTCTAAAATCAGTTATCTTTAGAAATAAATGTTATATTATGGTGTTTCGATGAAATTTATTTAAATTGGATCTCAAAAGTGTTTCTAAATGCTATGACTCTAGTTTTTGAATTTGTGAGTAAGAAAAAAATACACTGCTTGTAAAAATTTCCTGCAAGAGACCGGAAAATACTGCTGAATAATCCCCAAAAATTATGTTGAAAAAACTTGATAAGCAATTTCTTTCAGTATTTAATAAATTTGTTCATAGAGTAAACAAATCATTTGTTGTTCATCGAAAACACAAAAGTCAACTACATATCAGTAAAGAATCAGTATTCATGTCTTTAGGTATTTAACAACCATTTAATAAATGTTATCAGTATTTCAACAACCACGTTTAAATATAATCTAGAAAAATATTCTTATTTATCCATAGCAACTCTATTTTAGCGTTCTTATGGTTGTTGTTTTTTCCCATTTAATATAATTTTGAGAATTGTACTTGTAAAAAAAGCTATAAAGACAAAGACTTTATGTAATGACATAATAATTCGTCACTGGATAAACTAGCAAGTTATTTTATTCTTCTAGCTTTTAGGTGTTATAAAAGTGATTGTATAAAGACGATAATAATAATAATCGTAAATTTGATATTCGAAAAGAAAATTGTTATCTTCATATATTGTTGCTCTTCATCATTATGATACATTTCTGAATTTTATGCATTATCTTAGATCTAATGGGAATTCTTAGCTAGAAGAACTATTTTCTAAATTACTTATCTATTTGCCAAATGATCGATTTCGTAAATGACCCGGACATAAATGATTGAAAAAAGTAATTTGAACAATTTATGAGAAACTTTCACTGAATAGTTTTTAGAAAGATCCTAGAACTAAAAAAAGGAGTTCAAGACATTTTGTGTAATATTGAATCCGGTTCATAATGCAAAAAAAGATAAATAAATAGATAAATTAAAATAAAATTGAATGACCAAAATATGCAGAATTGCTGAGATATTGTAAAGATAATTTAAAGTAAAGTTGTTCTCACGGAATTTGAAGCAGATTTTATCATTTTAATTATAATTTTCATAGCAGAAAAAAAAACTCTGCATTTGCAGTTTATTTATTGTTTTCCTTTTATATATTTCCAATTTCATGGTCATTTTAATAGAAACATTACCGATCGCTATTTATTGAAATTTACATTCTACACAACTGTTTTATTTTTTCTTTATAACCGGTGTTGAGCAGTGACCCAATTCTAAATTTACGATTATCAAGTATCAACTCAGTAGCCTCGAAATTATGAACCGAATCCTGAAGACAGGAGAACGACTGGATTAAGCATAAGGACAAACCATCATCTAAAGAGAACTTTTTGTTGACTCTTTCTCGCATTTGTCTTACATTGAGAGGAAAAACCACAAAAAACCTCACGGTTAGCCCGATGGTGATGGAATTCTAACCATTATCAGTCTTCCCCAGAGAATATTTTAAACAAGCTCTGTGGATGGTGCCAGCCAGGAGCAGAATTCGTATCGACCAGCTAATGCTGGGATTCATACCTGTGTTTCCTCAATTGGAAGGTAAGCTCTCTATCCGCTGTGACACCACGACAATGACACAAATATTTGCTACTATCTCATCTACTTTATTCATAAACTCACACTTATATTTCAGAGGAAATAACTAATAAGAAAAATAATTTTATATCGCTTCAATGCTAGAAGAAAGTATCAATTTTCCCTTTAACTTTATTATCCCTAACAAAAATCAAATCAATTTTTAGTAATTTTATCACTTTTCATGCATCATATAAAATAAGTAATTCATAAATTAAAAATGATATTTTTCTCCTGTGATTTTTCAACAGTATTATAAATAAGTATTTTTAAGAATTTAACATAAATTCCAAACTTTTCTCTTTTATTTTCAGATAAATATTTAAAGTAAATTTTACTGAATTTTCAAGAAATTCATATAAAATTATTAAAATTGTAAGATACTTTAATAAATTAAATCATGTCACGTATTTTCTATTAAGAGTATTTAAAAATGTTCCCTATTTCAATTTAAGTCTCCATATATGTGTCGTAAGTAAAATATACGACCTTATGAAACTTGCTTACTAAATAATGACGCTTATTGCTCACAAGTAAAAAGGTAATATATCGCTCATGGGCTGCAATAGCGGCACAACTAAAAAAAATCAAGTTCTGAGATAAGTGGGTTTAAAGTTTACAGTGCTTAGCAAAATGCATAAGAAATGCTTTAGTTTGCTTAAACAAAGATTACTTTCAAAATTGAATTAATGGGTTGAGCTAGTATTACTGCTGAAAGAATGTGCATTTTCATATTTACACCTGTTCTTAATTCATAAACGTGAGTTTTTTGAGTTGTGCCACTGTTTCAGCCCATGAGCGATATATGGTCTTCTTAGAACTGGTAGACCTAGGTTTTTCTTGATTCAGAAATCTATAATATGTTAAGAAATTTTGGAAGAAGAATTATATGAGAAATCTATGGATACTTTAAAAAATTAAATCATGTCACGTATTTTCTATTAAGGGTATTTAAAAATGTTCCCTATTTTAATTTAAGTCTCGCTGCAATAGCTGCACAACTCAAAAAAATCAAGTTTTGAGATAAGTGGGTTTAAAGTTTTCATTGCTATGCAAATTGCAAAAGGCATGCTTTAGTTTGCTTAAACTAAGATTACCTTCAAGTTGAGTTATGAGTTGAGCTAGTATTGCTGTTGAATAAATGTGTATTTTCATATTTACGCCTGTCCTTAGTCCAAAACGCGTGTTTTTTTAGTTATACCACTATTGCAGCCCATGAGCGATATATGGTCTTCTTAGAACTGATAGACCTAGTTTTTTTCTTGATTCAGAAATCTATACTATGTTAAAAAATTTTGGACGCAGAAATCTATGAGAAATCTATGGACCTATATAAACGATATAAAGAAGATAATAATTAATATTTTCAATTTAAAATGATGAAGCTGAAGCAGTTTAAGTGCTAAGAATTGTATCATGATATTCATAAAGTAAAAGGATTACAATGTCTAGAACATGTAAAAAGAATGAAAATCAAACCATGCAAAGAAAACATTTATTACAGAAAAGGAGATAGTCCAATATTGAGGTTGAATTTATGAAACTCGAGTTTTCAATCAAGATCAATCATTGTTTGCGGACTTCAAGTTTCAAAAGTATGCAGTGTAGAACACATTATTGCATCCATTTTTATGTTAATAACATTAAAATATTGACCTTAACTTAAATTCCGTAGGAAAGAAGGAAGAAAATTTTTATAAGCATGCATATGTTTTCATAAGAATATTTTTTTATCCTAAGTAATGTTTGCATGAGAGAGTTGTATTTAGATGGCATTTTCAAAACGTGCATGAAACTTTATGCTTTATCACTTAGTTACAGGTTTTTATGCTGATGTTAATATATATTTTATGTTTAATATGTTTAATATATGTTTAATATACGTTTAATATATGTTTAATATATGTTTAATATATGTTTAATATGCTGATGCTAATATATATTTTAAAAAAATAATTTAGTTTGTGCTTGGTTAAGCTTAGTATTTATTTTTCTCTCCCTACAACTTGATGCAATATTTGCAATTATTTTTAAACTTTATTTCTCATTAAGACAAGCAATGGCCTTTTCGAAATGTTGCAGATTATATTTATTTGAAATATTTCCTTGGTTGTGGACTTGAAGTTTTGAAAACTAGTTA